TATATAGTCATAATCACTTTTTCCCTTATTCTTTTTCCTGCTTTATGAATAAGCCTGGCTGTTTCTAATACAACCTTAGTGGAAAGGGTACCAAGTGCTGAGTATCCTCAATGCCCTCAGCTTTACCCATCTCCTCTGCTCTTTATCCTGCAGCTGATACTTGGTGTTCTGGAGATCCGCTTTTGTCTGTCTTCCAAATCCACTGCTTTCCTTATTCCATTTGTAAAATACAGGCTGCTTATGTCTAGGAAGAAGACTGGAGTATTCACGTAGTTTCCTTTTTCTCCTCTTGACTCTTTTTGGCTTTAGTGGGCTCTCCTTATCCATCCAATTTATTTCTACTGAAATTTGCTTTCTGACTCATGATGTAATTAAAATAATACCCAGTACTTTGCCTGGCTGAGCTTTTCTGTCTTCAGCTTGTTGAACACAAAAATAAATGTTCTTCCAAACTTCTTAACAATATCTGGATCGTTTTATCTTCCTGTTCTGCAGCCTGGCTTGTCACTGCACACCTGATAGCAATTGCCTTTACCTATTTTCCTGACAAGCATTGTCTTCCATGTTACTACTGAAGTATAACACTGTTTCCAAAACAATTTGCAGAAACACTGTCTTGCCCTTTGGCTTCCTCAAATGCTACAGTGATCCTGGTGGCAACCAGCCTGTTTATGCTTTGTTAATATTTTGCTGACTCTGAAAACTTAGAGTTGCTTATTTTGCTCATGTTTTTGCAGCATTGCGTATTGATACGTCTGCCTCACTTCATGCCATTTTGTGATGATCTCCACCACCACTGTCATTTGCTTCTGATTTCAATGACAAGAATTTGGAAGAAAAAGCTGTTGAATATTCTTTTTTCTCTCCTTGTGGCAGCTAACATGACTGCTGATATTGAAGTGATGATTAAAGACACAAATCTAGGCCTTGTTACTGTGGACACTGTTGTGTACAAAGCAAAGACTGCCTGCTTCTTGAACAATTTGATCCAATACTAACTGGATCTTTTGGATTGCATCTTTTCATGTTGTTTTCATACAAATAAATTAGCTTGCTACCAAACAATCCACAAACCTCCTTATGGCAATGATTACTGTTGTAGGGCAGCACACAGAATCAACCAGACATTTCTGGAAGTCACCACTCTCTTTTTTTCCAGCCTCTCCACGTAGTTTGCCCAGAGCAGTATACTCAGCCACCACCCACCCAGTCTCATCGCACAGACCTGATGATAGACTGCCAGCCTCCCCCAATGTCCTACCGCAGAGCAGAGGTGCTGACTCTTCCCTACAAGCGGCGCTATGAGAAGATCGAAATCATGCCAGAAGTGAGTAACAAAAGTGGGGGGAAAATGGTGGCTTCTTCCTCATACAGCCAAATCCAAGCCACTGCTTCAGTAGCTCCTTTGACTAAGTTACTATTGGCTATGATCATGTAAAGCACTTTCTGTCAAATGAAGGGCTGAGAAAGAAGGATTTGAGGGAGAATTTCACTGTGTAAATTAATGGGAATTGAAAAAAACATTGTGGGCACGGAAAAAATACGTTCAAGTTAATTGTCCTTTGCAAGAGCGTATCGCATCTCAAAATACAAAGGGCAATCTCTGTTAGCCACCTGTGAGGCAAGCAAGTCACCTCCAGTTTAAATACCAGTAAGTAGAGGCGCTGCAGTTTGAATTAGTGGCCCAGGACCATGGAAGGGACCCAGAGAGTCTGGGACTTAGTAGCCAGGAGCTGTCTTTCGCCTTCCGCAGCTGTACCTGCTGTGAGAAATACCCTTTCCCTTGAGGAGCAGTATTCAGTCATATGTTAAAGGCACAGTAGTGAAATGGCTCATTTGTATTACAATGGTTTCAATAAATGGTTAATTCCTACAGACTGCTGAAGTCCAGCAGGTTAATGGGTTGCCTGTAGCCATCTATAATGTGGGCTACTTATGTCTGCAACACCTTTTAATAATTTATTAACACTTCAAATCAAATATAAATGTACCCATAATACAAATGGTGACCCATATTCTGACAGGCTTGATCTTAAAATATTTTTTGACAATCCAATCAACACAAATGTGTCCTTGGATCAAAGGTGACAGTGGCTTTTTACAAGCAGGGGTTACTGCCCTTTGGAAGCTGTTGAATATGTGAGTCTGTGTTTAATCAGCAGGTAGAGGGACAAAGTGCCCTTAGTTAAGCCCAACATGAAGTACAGAACTGGTACCCACGTAACAAAATGCCTCAGTCAGTCTGCAACACCCATTCCTACCATTTTGCATGTATCTGCTTTGTGCATCAGTTCTGTTAGGAGCCTGCCCAGCCCACTGGATAGAGGACTGCCAGAGACAAGGAGGCATTTTTCAATTAGAAAATAATACTTGGATGCAACTCCATCTTGGCATGTGTATTTAATTGTTTTGGAAATTTGCGTATTTATTGGATCCTGTTAAACCTAGGACTAGTAAAACCTGGCTTCCGTTCACCAGCATGACCAAAACAAATCTTGCATTCTGAGTGCAGAGAGCCAGCACATGGCTTACCTGTTATGGAGATTCCACTGAAGCTTTGGGTTTTCTCCTAAACCATGAGGGTGTAAGTGAGCCTCTGCATGTGAGCCTGTCCCTTGTGTCAGCCTTGTGCAGAGGGTGGATACCAGCTTTCCCTGCAAACGGAATGCAAATTAGCACAGATGCTACAGATGAATATTCACCAACTCTCATACATTTTGAAGTTCCTGTCAAGGGGGAGGGCTGTCTAAAAGATAGCTAGGCTGGTCCATGGGAGTCTCAGGTTCAGTTTCTTGCTCTGTTGCAGTCTTCCTGTATGATCAGCACAAGTCTGAAACACAAAACGCAGTTCACACTGGAAAGGAACAGCAAAAGGATACTGAGGACTACAGAGTTCCCTGGCAGAGCTTATTAGTGCCATGCTTGTGGGGCTAGAGTGCATCTGAAACAAGTCAGTGTTTCTCTTGTTAGCTTGGCAGCTTGCAGCAAGATCTTTTACACGTGAGGCTCAAAAGGCCCTGTGGATTCAACCTTGTTGACTGTCACCAATGAGAAAATGCTCTCCGTTTCTCAAACCCAGTTCTCTGGTGGTTTATAGGTGCTGTCTGTCACTGAAGCAAATGGATTGTTCCTATACCTCTAGGTAAAAACAGTACATAGAAATAAGAGCACTTGCCAAAATTGCTGGGATGTCGGAGGGAGGACGCACTGTGGACAATGTGGTATTCTCCAACCTAGGAATGGGTATCAAAGAAGCACATAGAAAATGAGAGCTGATTTCTATTTCATTCACTTTAACTTGGAGAGTTCAATCAGAAAGCGGCGCAGACGGGAATATTGACAGAAATGGTCCTTTTTTTCCCTCTAACAAGTAACATCAAATTCTATTCACACAGGAGTCCTAATTTCAAAGCTGTCTGTGCTCAGGGAGTAGAAATATCTCATGTGATTTTCCACGTCCAGGTATTCTCCCTGGTTCCAAAGCTGCGGTTACTAACTTGTTGCAACAAACTACTTGACTCTCCTAAAAAGACTCTTAACATTATACAGAAATTAAGTAGACCAGATCATCTCTGTGACTCTCGGGAAAGCTGTTGTCCTTTCCCGTTGGTGTCAGGGAGGTAGTGTTTGCTTGCCTCGGGGTTATTGGAGAGTTAGACCCATTGATGGTGGTGTGCTTGCATCTGAGAGCAAGGCTGTGATTCAGAGCTGTTAATAGGATGCCATTCCCCATCACTGAGATATGTAAATCATCCTCAAAAAGAGATCTTGCTCCTTCTTTTTAAGGGAACTCGCCAGAGGAATAGCAGTGCCAAATTTGTCGTGATCACAGACTGTCTCCCCAGGACCCAATCTCTATTTCAGCATATGTTCATCACATCGCTGTGTGAGGCTACTTTTTGCTTCCAGCTTGACCTGCAGAGTGGTGATAAGGCATGGGAGGGATGGTATGTTGTCTCCCACCCTCTCTGACTTTGGTCTTTGAGTCTTAGCAGCGTAACTAACAACTGCTGAGAAGTGTAGCTGTGTAATCTCTCCTACTCTGTGTAACCAGTCACAACAGGTAAGCCCAAAGGATCGTAGTTTGTTTTTCACATAAATGGAAGAAGGAGGAAAAGGCTGTCTTTTTCTAGGGCCTGTATTTCCTTTGATGCTAACCTCCTAAATAAGCACCTTACCTCCCTAAGAATTTTCATATGCCATCTGCATGGCTTGTTTCATTCCCCCTCCCAGCAGAAGAGCCCCGTCTGTCTGTCCCATTGTGCAGAGTGGTCATTCGCATGTTGGTTTCGAGAGGCAGATGCAGATGGCCTGTTGGTTTCAGGCAGGGTTTACATACTGGTAGCAGGAACTTCCCTTTCTACTGGGAGGGTTTTCAAGATGGGATTGCAGATATGGTAGATGAGGCTCCCTGGTGCAGAGTATTGGCTGTTTAATGTCCCCTTGTCAGTAGTTTCATCCAGGAAGACTCTTTAATGGTGCCTGAATATATAGGATTTTCTATACTGCAAGGAAAGGGCATTTGTTTCACATGGGCTACCACCACCTCTGGGGTTCTGTGAAGGCATAAGTGGCAATTGGAAAGGGTATTTTATAGCTCCTAGCAAACCTTGCAAAGGCTTGTTATGTGTCAAAACCATGTTAGGCAAAAATGGAATGATGAAATCCACCCTGGGAAAAAAAGTAATTGCTAGATCTGCTCCAGGGCTGGGACTTGAGTCTTTCATAAAAGAACGTCTGTTTCAATGAAGTCCTGATCAGGCCCTCTCCTAATATTCACAGCCCTTTCTTGGAAACAGACATGTGCTCAAACTTCTGTCTCGATTCTTAAAGTTTTTGAAAACTGAACAGTTGGCTCCGTATGGTTTCAGTCAATACAGACTGGCGGTGTCATGGTGTGAAATTTCCTCTCCAAAACTGTTTCAGTGGTTCAGATTCTGGCCTGTCAGACTAATGTAAATTTACTGATACTGCTGGAGTTTGTCTACATTTCAATCACTTCACCGGAGAGCAAAGTCGGGTCAAGCAGGACTGTTGTATGTTAATGAGATTTACACTCAGAGCAGCCTTTGTTTAGAGAGAGGTTTTAACAGTCCCAAGGCACCAGGCTGGAATGGCTCTCAGAGGTATTGTGGAAACCTTTACACTTTAACTAATTTGTTCTTCTCAGCACCTGCCTTTCATTTTAAAAAATAATAAAAAAAAAGGACTTATTCCTGGAAATTGGGTAGGCATTGTCTATTCACAGGAGAACGATGGGAAAATGGAAAACACCTTCTGGAGCAAACAGATAAATTAAACAGTAGTGTTTGAGCAAATAATGTGCCTCCAGTTTAATTACAGCTGAACAATGGTGCGGATCACTTGATTTCAGCAGCAGACTGACTTCAGTGAAGGCTCTGTGTTTTTAAAGTACCCTATTTGCAAGTTCTTCAGGACACAGGCCAGTATCAGAGAGTGTGGATGTGCAAGGCACAGCCTGCCATGAAGTAAAATTATAAGGAACCATTGCAGAGAAGAATTAGGAAAAAAGCCACTTGGCACTTCATTATAATTATGTAGCTTTCACTCCACCCTCCCCTTCTGCTGTCTTGACTTCTTTTTCCTCTTGCCAATTCCTTTTTGAGAGAAAGAGAGGCAAAACATGGCTTTCATCTTACCTCTTCAACTTCCTTCCATGTTTCAGTTTGATTTCTGTCTTTCTTCTAGCCCTCCACTTATTTTGGTGACCCCACATTATTCAGTCTCCTGACCTCTCCATTCTTTTTCCCCCGACTATTTCCCCTTGTATAAAGATGCTGTAGTTTCACTTACCATACAGTAAATGAAATACAACCATCCTGCTTACTCCTGCTACTGCCATTCTTCCCTTCAGCTCCAAGCTGAATTCACCATCTGTAAAATTGCCTGGAGTCCCTTCCTCTTTCTAGCACAGGTCCTTTCCGAGTTTGACTTCACCTTTTGACATTCCACCAAAACTGCTCTTGTCCCAGCTTTTACCAACCCTTTCTTAGGCAGAGCCAGAACCACCGTAGTCTACCGTCGTCCTGATTTACGTCAACGGTGTTCAGTGCAATCAGACATTCCTTTCTTCTTAAAAATGTCTCCCACCTGTCTCCAGTGTCGCTTCTCTCCTGACCATTCAGCCTCCCATTGCTTCTGCAGAGAATTCTACTCCTCCCTCCCGTTTTGTGGGCTTTGAATGTGTTATCCCTCATTTCCTTTGTTTTTTTTGTGTTTTGGTTTTTTTTTTTCTGTACCTTTTTTCTGGTTGGTCTCATCTGCAGACTGATGAAACTCAGATCTGCTTTTCTGCTCTCAGTCAGT